AGACTGTTTGAGAATGAGCTAACTTTAATTAGAATTAAATATGTAGTAGGTGAATAGCTACAAACAGCAACCTACTCTTTAAGGAATGAAGGTTACTTACCTTTAAGCAGAGTTTTTCAAGATTGAATATATGTAGAGTCTTACTCCCCACTCATGTTAACTCCTAATGGCAGCTGGGGCACAATGCTTCCTTTTATAGCTCTGCCTTCAGAATTTAAGAATATCAAAGGTGGGGAGGGGGCAAGCACCCAGGTACTGCTATTAAAAGGTTCCACCATCAAGGCGTCCTATGACTAGAAATACGCAGATTCCATCTCTGATTACTACTGTGTATAAACAATTGGGTTTGGGGTTTTTCCCCCCCTTCACAGACGCTATGGAGTCGTCATCTACTGTGTCCCATGCTTTATCTGTTGCTTCTATCTATTATAGAAGGACAGTATACATCTGCAAAACCTCTTGCTATAGTAGGCCCCACTACTGCAAGATTACCTGAGCCCCTCTGAAGTCAGTAGGGTTCTGTGCAGGCACAGGGCTCCATCCATGCAGCTCATTTTTGTAAAATCTAGGCCTTTCCAGACAAAATTGGCAGGGCTCACCACACCATTAACCTAGATTGGGGGAGGAGGAGGAAGAGGGATGTTTAAAGAAGCCAGACATTTGAACATCTGCCAAAACTTCCAAGATTAGAGTACAGACAGTGGGACAAATCCTGCTCACTTAGCACTATTCACATGAATAAGTTAAGCAAGAGTTGGCTCCTTGTTGCTCCACATTATAAAGAACCACAAAGTGCAAGTAATGTATAAACACACAAGGTTTTTCTTGCCTTGTTACAGCAGAAATTTTGCTGGGTCTGGAATCATTTACAGATAATGGGATAACTAATATACGATATGGGCATCATAAATACACACAAAATGAAACCTGATGGGAGTGATCTTTATTCAAGCCCCTTAAGACAATTTGCCTTTAACAGCAATTTAAAATACACTTGGAGGGGGAGATTTAAGGTTTCAAACCCTCACTCACCCTAAACGTTGAGTAAGCTCCCACTACATGCTTCTGAGATGTCCCAAGAAGTCTTCCAATAAAAACAAAATTTATATTCCAGATATTTACCAAGCCAGCTGAAATACAACAAACAAAAGTAGTGGGAATTAACACTGGCTATGTCCCATTCCACACCTAGCAGGACACCCAAGGCTTAGCTAATGTGGCCAATGGCAACACACTTGAGTCATGCTGCCAGGAAGGTGGCACAAAGAGATGTCTGTAGATGGCTATACAAGAACTAGGTATTAATGTGGGCTTGTAATTGATTCCCCACCTTCCCTTGGGTTCAGCTGGGTTGGGAGACCACAGAACCTGCATTTTCCAAAACCTTTCCCCTTTTAAGTGAGGTATTAATCAGAAGCACTACCATATTTGCTTTGCATAATTTTATTGCCCTCATTCGTTTTCTCCCCTACAGGTTTTACCAGGAAAGGGTACAATACTGCATAAAAGATGGCAGGATTTATTTGTAGTATGTTTATCTGTTCTAGTGTTTGGCAAGGGTTCAACTGCTATACCTTTCCCCAATTTACATTAACGATTGTATTAAGTGGCATCTCATCTACTGGAACAAGTGCTTGAAATGTACTACTTGCCCCATATAAGCAATTACTGCATTAAAGGATTTAACTCTAGGCATTTAGAACACACTAATCACTGAATTTTTAACTGAAAAATACTATGATTATTGTATACAGCAGTGTGATGATACTCTCAGAGGAGAAAATGCCCCATCATTACTGGACACCAATCACTAGACTAGACAGTTAAAGAGCAACCTCAGACTTAGAGAATTCTTCCTGATTTTCTTCAGCCAGAGGGATGCCAACTGAAAAACAGGGTTCTGAGCACATGGGAATCAAGTCATGAAAACAGAAAGCTTCTCAGCACATCACTTTCTCTCTCACTTCCATCCTCCCAGATACATACTTTTTGCATGAATAAAGTAAAAGTTCTATGGTATGGCATGCCAGGTCAAGATTCTGAATTTAAGTGTAATGCTTGGTGTTCTCATATGCTAAGCAACCAAAAGGGCAGCTGAGACCTATTGCCAAACTATAGTCTTCTTGTATTTGCTGGTGGTCTGCCAAACCGACTCAGAGGGTGACAGCTCTTAAATATCATTAAGACTACTAAAATACACTTTATTTGTCCATGCAAGCAAACTTTAGTTGGCACAAGGTGATTATGATCACATGTGAAAGGGGAAGTTATCCATAAGAATCTCTATTAAAATGTGAATCCAAAATCTGAAAAATGAAAGAACATGTGAGGCTGCACTTTTAGAAGTTCGGGTATATTTGCATGTTCTCTTGAAAGCAAAAGTTTAGGATTTTATTCACTTTTACCTGGCAGATTGTTACTGCTGATGGTTATATAAAGGATATAGTAATTCACTGGCAATGAATCAGCATGCAGTGTTGTAAATTACAAAGCATAGGTTTTCACTTCTGGAAACTTAAGCCACTATTTACTTATGGCTACAGCCAAACCATCCACAACTTTTATCCACCATATAAACTATCCAACTCGCTATGATTGAGAGAATCTACACAGAAGAATTACAGGACTACAACAGGGGTTCTGCACATTAGGAGCAAGGCAGCAGTGGCTGAGTTGTGGAAGAGACACCATAGGCCTACCTGCTCCTTGACCACCCACTGTTACCAGTTTTTCACTAAACTATGTAACCTTGCAACTCTGTCTCCTTATTTTCTAACTTAGAATCATAGAATATCAGGGTTGGAAGGGACCTCAGGTCAGCTAGTCTAACCCCCTGCTCAAAGCAGGACCAATCCCCAGACAGATTTTTGCCCCAGATCCCTAAATGGCCCCCTCAAGGATTGAACTCACAACCCTGGGTTTAGCAGACCAATGCTCAAACCACTGAGCTGTTTTCATTCATTACACCATATCTCCAGTCAGACTGTAAGCTCTACAGAGCAGGGCATGTACTTATTTGTCTGAAGTATCCATCATGTCTGTATTACTGAATGGAATATTTAACCAAATGTTAACAACAGAAACCTGTTCTCAATCAGCACAGCCAAGGAGGAAAATAAATGGAAAGATGTGTTAACAGACTTATCTACTAAGCCCCGTATCCAATTCATCGAGAGAAGTAAAACTTTTTGCAAAGAACCAGGCAATGACTGAGATCATTACAAAAGAGGAGTAGCAGTCAATCATTTAAAGCCAAGTATCTGAACTATCGATGTTGTTGCTAGCCCCTCCCACCCCATAAAACAAGTAGAAACTAAAGTAATCAAAATTGCGAATAAGATGCTGATTATACATTCATTTTCTGATAAAAAGCCTCAAATGTTTTGTTTGTAGTTTTTAAAGCAAGAGAACAAGATAGATGGCAACAGCAGTCTGGGTTTTCTATTGCAGTGGATACTCTTACACCCATACAAGTTTCTCCCCAAACTCAGATTTCAAACTCAATTACCTATCGATTTAAAAATCACATAAGTTTTTCTACTGCTGGAGGGAAAACCAGGAAGATTAACAATACATTTAGAATTAAAGGTGATGGAGGAGGGGGAAGAAACTGAGCTTGTGCTACCATTGCTTCTTTAATACAGAAATGAGCTGATTTTTTTCCCCTCCAAAATATTTTCTTTTTGCCTTAGTAATTCAGGCACTCGCTATTTATTCTGCAAGATCAGAGACAATTAGAAAGTTGTTTTACTACAGTAAATTAACTTAACTAGATTTATTGACATATACTATGAAAGTAAGAATAGGAGAGGGAAAGTGATTGTATTAAACACTTGTTTAAACTTAATACCTAGAAGTGCTACATCATACAAAAGCAAAAAGGGGGGGGGGGGAAGAGAGGGATGACACAAACCTCAATTTATTTCACCTTCACGTCACTCAAACCACAAATGATCCACATTTCAGTCTTAAGCCCTGAGTTAACCAGGTTAGTCTTTATATGTTGACCTATTACTTTGAAGTCCTGGTCCATACATAGTATCATTTCCCTTTAGATCAAGGCAAAGAAATCCACACACACAGCTTTTCAATACGGGGAAAAGCTGACACCCAGCACAAAGGTGTTAATCCAGTGTTTATTCCAGACCGATGGTTCTCCTCACTCAATATACAAGTCATCAGAACAACCTATCAAGCAGAACTGGACTTTTATTATATGGTTTTTCAATAGTGCATTTTGGTATTACCTCCTACTAGCTAATCTGTTTTAAAAACTTATTTACTTTTCCCACTGCTGGAGATGAAATTTTCAGCTCTGAACAGCAATCTTTACTATTTGTAGAAAACATTATGAATTAAAAAAGGACACTATCAAGGTATTTCTTATTTTAAATGTTTTTCATTTATAAAAATGCTTTGGAAGCCTGAAACTCAAATCTGTTTCTTGGCAAAAATTCTCCTTCCTCCCTCCCTCCTCCATTCTCACACACCTTTGTTAGCCTAGGATTATGATGAGTGACAGGTTGACAGCACTGATTTTTTATAATCAAAACAAACTGAAGAAAGTGTTGAAAAGAAGAGCAAATTTACATGGACTTTTTAAACAAGTAAGAAAAAATGCATAGGTAGTTATGGTACACGCCTACCAACCTTAACAGTGTCCCTCTGAGGTAGCATTTCTAAGAGGGTTACTAAATAAGCCACAGCATAATCTAAATCCCTGCATTAAAAATTGCTACCTGCTTGAAAACCTACACTGAATATAACACTTTGTTGGGGATTAAAACATAATACATTTTAAAAAGCTTTCTAAGACAGTAGATACAATGGACACAAGTTAATTCTAAATCTTCAGCCCTTATGTACATCATATGCACAAATATTTGAGCTATAATACACAATCAAGACCCACCCCCAAAGCTTCTGTCATACTATTATGCAAAGCACAGCCATGCTAATTTCTAGATATAAACCATAATTCCACATCTACAAAACAAAAGTAGAATTAGTGGCAGTTTATTGCCTTATACAAATTTAACCAACATGGCAACCATACCAAAGGAATTAAAACATTTTCAGGACATATGTACAGACTGTACATTTGAGAAACATTTGAACAATAAAAACGCAAGAACAATCTTTGCATTATGAATTAAACTAAACACATGGGTTGAAACCATCAATGCATCAAATGGGATTACAAAGGCACTTCCCTACCCAACATAGGAAATGACAATCTGCAGCCTAGAGGGAGGTTGAAAAAAGAGTGCTCAACTACTGCACAATCTCAACTTTAAGAAAAAAATAAGCAGGATTTAATCAAAGATTTATAGGATTCAATGTGATCCACTTTTCATTGAGTTCACACAGTCTCATCTTTGTTTTTATGTTGCTTTTCTTGGCTCTCTCGTTCTGTACTTTGGCTCCTTCTACGATCATGTTTGTCTGAATGGTCCTTGCTATCACTGTGATCATGTTTAAGGGATCGTTCTTTGCTTCTACTACGCTTTCGGGATCTCTCTTTGCTGGGACTGTGGTCTCGTTTTCTGGACTTTTCAACACTATCGGTTCTTCCTCTGCTTCCACTTCTACTTCGTTTATTTGATTTATCTTTACTTTCATTTTTATGTTTACTTAATTTCTCCTTGCTCCTGCTTCTACTGTGCTTACCTGTATTCTTACTTCTACTCCTACTCCTGTGCTTCCTCTCCCTGCTTCGGCTTCTGCTATGTTTTCTGTCTTTTTTGGAATCTTTCTTATCATCCCTGTGCTTCTTTTCATCCTTGTCATCTTTGTGTCTTTTCTCTTCTATTTCACCCTTACTTTTCCTGTCTTTTGACCGTTCCCTCGATCTCTCTCTTTCATTACCCTTTTCCTTGTCATAGTCTCTATCTTTTTTCCTGCTTCGTTCATTTTCTTTCTCCCGCTCTCTATCCCTGTCTCTTCTATCTCCCTTTCTATCACGACTTCGACTACGGCTTCTGTGTCTCTCTCTGCTTCTGCTTCGCCTCCGCTCTAATGCACGATCAGTACTTCGTGATCTTCGCCTTTCTTTTTCTTTCTCCTTAGCTTCACGTTCTAATCTCTGCCGTTCTCTCTCCCGTTCTAGTTCTCTATCAAAACTAGATGATCCATGGCCTTCCCGATGATGACTTCTGCTTCTGGATCTTCTAGGAGACCTCCTGGGGCTCACAGACCTTCTTGGAGACCTACATGAAAAATAAAGGGATTTACAAGTTGAAATTTTTAACAATGAGCTCTCTGGATTTTTCCAGATTGTGTTTTATGAATCTTCACGTTCCACATGCTAGCCTTAATTGCCAAACATTACACATTTATTTCAATATCATTTCATTAGTTTATTCATTAGTATTACCATCAATCAACTCTTTTGATTGATTGGTTTAGAAACATTAGTTGTCCCAGCAAAGGTAGGACACTATTTTTTCTGATAATACAGAGTGTAAGGCACTAGATATTGGCTTTTACAATTGCACTATTTTGAAAAGATAATGTATAACCTTGAACGTCTACGCTCTGCATGTCGGTCTACTTCTTCCACTCCCTCCTTGGCATCCTTCTTGATTTTTCTAGGTCTGGTTTTTATTTGCTGATCAATGTTTTTCTGGACTGGCACAGGAATTCTTGGAAACAATGTTGAAAACCATTCGAGCTTAGTAAGAAAGGAACGAAGCATCTCCCCAATGGTCATAACACAACCCCCACCTGCCTTCACATCCAGGTCCTACAAAACACAAAGAAAAAATATCCTGACCGTCAAAAAAGTTCTTTGCTTAATTTAAACAAATGCTGATATATTTATTGCCATCTTGAAGTCTCATAATTATGAAAATTTACTTGTTTCACACTTTAATAAATGTTCTTGAAAAAATTCCAATTCTTGTACCCTTTGGATTTGGCAATAAATGTTACAGATAGGGAGTGGGACTTAATACACATGCATGCAGGTCCATAGAAAGCCTGCAGCCATCTGGATGTTAAGGGACTGTCTCAATGAACAGATTAAGGTGTAATCCTCTTACTCTGTCTAGTTGAATGATATGATCTTGTATCTTATTTAAATGCTACAAAACTGAGAATTTCTTTGTAAGACTATATTTAATACCTCATTTTATGGGTGCATGACTGTACATAGTGATAGCCAACACTGTGGCCTATCCACATAAGAACTACTTCATTTCCTGTCTACAAATGATCATATAGAAAGTTGTAATACAAAATGGCGTCCTAACAAAATTGGAAGCAATAGCAAACCAACTGCCATGAAGCAGTGAGGTTTCTAATTTAGAAATATGTAAAAAAATAAATAAATGAACAAATAATTGGAAACGCATAATCCATGATGACCATTGTCTCTGAAAAGGGTCATTACCGCATGAAGGCCTTCTTGCTATGCCCTCTCACAGCTCAGGACATGTTAGTCAGCTATTGTCAAGTCCCAAACCTATAGTGCAAGCACACAAGGAAAGTGAGATTTGTTATCTAAACATGAAGAGAAAATCTAAATGTAAAACTGCTTGCACTCACACACATTTAAGTGTTCAGATATACAGTATTTCCAAATATAATCGTTGCACAGAGATCTAAAGAAGAAAACAATGAGTTAGCTTAAATGTAGCACCTCGCGAGTATCTACATGGTTAAACAGAACAAACATTAGAAGCATTTAGAAAAATAACCGTGGAACAGAAAGAGGCCTTCTGTTACAGGAAAGTGTGACAATGTTGAACAGCTTCAACATATTAGATTTATGGACTAGAGAAAAAACTTGAGGTTAAAATTATCCTTCTTATAAATGTTTACCGTATCTTTAAATGAGTTTGTGCAACATTGGCAAAAAAATGCATATGAACCAGCTGTAAGCACTTCCTCCTACATAAAGAAGTCCTGGGGAAGCAGCAGAGAAAGACTGCTTCTAATGCTTCCTCTAACATACAGTTTGGAGAGATAGGAGACATGAATGTATGCTGCTATTCAAAATATTAGAGCAAAAATTGTGTAGTATGTCATATGTATAAACTAAAAGTAGGGCCTTTAATAGTAAAGACACCAATTAAGGCCTGCAAGTTCACTCATTTTCTTGTTCAACTTGTCCTATGAATTAAGTAGCTTGTAGGACACTGGAATTGAAGCCTCCCCCAAAAAAGTTACAGGGCAGCACTTTATAGAAATATAGTTAATGTTCACATCCAAGAATTAAAGTAGCACCCACTTGGGGGGGGATGCTAACTATTAATTATGAAATCACCCCACAACTGAATTCTTAATTAAGGAATATTTTGAGCACATTACAAATATACAATAACACAGGTTTACCTGGATTAACAAATGTCTCCTTTGTACTGTATTTGATGCTTAGTATGAAAGTAGCTGTGTAAAATAAATATACTGTGTTGTAGTCATGCGTATGTATTACACTGCATTTTTATTAAAAATAGGGCTTTCCTGTAAACATGAAGTTTGATATTTCTTGTAATACAGGGTGTTAGTCTCAACCAGTCAAAGAAAATATGTTCTTAAATCTAGTAAATAACTTAAGACTCAAACTCAGTAAATACTACATATTACTGCAATTTGAGGATTGTGTATTTCAATCCTCTAACCCTAGAAATGTGTTACATATGCTCCCACTCAATTTTTCTAGCTAGGAATTTGGGGATAAGGGACAACAATAATTCCCATAACACACTATTTTCTCATTCTCCCTCCCTACTGCATAATAATGCAATCCGTTTGACTGAAGGAGTTCGGAACTTAGCACTTAAAATTGCCTCTTGTTACTCCATGGATCAACAGGAATGTTCATCAGACAAGTACAGGTGGCACCATCCTACCCAGTAATTAAGCTGTTCGCTTCTGGTTAGTGAAGTTTAGTTTCTAGTGACTTGGGATATAATAGCCACAGAAATGAGCCGATAAAGTTTTGCTGTAAAATGGTTGATCCCAATCACACACCTCTCTCCATCCGAAGTACAAGATTAATTTTTTCAATAATACACAATACATACATTTAGGAGCCTAATCTTTCAAACGCATTTTTGAAAGTCCTGGCCATAAACTCTTATTTATTGTGATCTGTTTAACATATCCTTTTCTCTCCCCCTTTTTTAAAAAAGGTGTAACAGTATAGAGTATAAAGCCATTAGAGACAACACTATGCAGCCCAAAGGTCTCACCCTAAAAGAATTTATTTAAACTTTTTTCACATCAGTTTCTAACATATGTCATAAGTTTAAAACAATCATTAGTCTTAGCCAGTGGAAAATTCAATTAAATCTTTTGATAACAAAAAACAAAGTTTGTTTCCAGATCAGACCTACTCCCCACATTAATCTATTAATGTAATTAAATTAAAAGAAAATCACAACTTGAAGATGCTCAAACTACAGGAAAATGTATCAACATTTTTAATCTAAAAAAGCAGCATGAAAGGAAACAAAAGAAAACAAAGTATTACCCTCGCCGACATACCTCTTCATCATCAAGGAACGATTCAAACCAGTCCCATAGATCAGTAGGAGGCTGTGTGTACCTTGAAGTACAAAGAGAATGTGTAAATTTAATACAATTTTCTGTGTATTAAACTAGTTTATAGTTAAATACATTGCTACTCACCTAATATACATAAATCCAAGAGCCCTAATGTACGGAGAATCTGTGTGTGTAATGAGGCCCATCACTTGCTTACGAGTGAGTTTTAGAGTAAATAATTTGTATAGCAGGCAAAAAGCTGTAGACACAATTCCTCCAGTTCCAACACCTCGCACCTTTAGTGACAGAAAAAAGATATACCAGATGTTTAACATAGCCAGTCGCCAAAATATTACTCCAGATTTTCAGTGGCAGAAGAACCTAAAAAGAATGAAGCTTTTCCATTGGAGAAAAGCAAGACTATTACTGCTTGCCTCCCCAAACTCACATCCTTCAGAGTCAAAGGGGGTATCTCAGTCCTCTGTAATTTGGAAATTTGTCATCTACATTCTGATCCAATACTCAAGTCTCATGTGTAGACAAGACTGGGACATTTCACAGGTGATTATACAGGTGATTATTTACCACACAAAAGTATTAAGGAAGGCACGTACTTCTACTTACCCCTCCGCACATCCCTGTCTGTCCTGCTGTTTTTCTGCTCCCTTTCTCCCATGGTTCAACATGTGTAACCTGAAAGTGCAAAAAAGATTACTATCACAGCCATCATATTTAGCTTCACAGATTATCTACAAGTACATAAAACAATCATCACGTGCCCAAATAAATACAGTTAAGTTCATAAAAAAATTTCCTAAACCAATTTTCAGTAGGTCTCATCAATGCATACCAAATTAAAGGCAAGCTGGATACTTCAGCAAACAAACGTTACTCAAGATTTTAATAATCTTTCCTTAAAAGCTTAAAAAAAAAAAAAAAAGTCAAAGTAAGTAACTGTTTTTATATTGCACTGCAGTCTCCCCCAAGTATTTATCTGGGGATAAAAACAATCATTACTATGGTCAATGCTGACTAATTCCACTTAAACATACTATTAGCATTATGCTTGTTAATAGAGCATTTTAGTCTGTGGTACTTACTGCACATGACTATGGGGTACATACTCCACTACTTACGCAGTTTAATAAGAGATTAATATTTTCTTATTCTCTCCTCGTTATAACCTAAATCTAAGACAATGAGAAAAAACAACTATGAACTGTAATATTTTAATCTAAAAAGCTAATGGCTTTTTTGTAGATTGTGATGATTCTCTCAGATAACGACCTGCTCTGCATACTAAACAATAATGGCAGATTTAGTTTTATGAAGGGTTTTAGCATAGTTCAAGTACATCTTAAAACAAGATTAGATGATCAGTGCTAGAACTAAGTTGACCAATACCAGCCTTGGACTCTTGTAATGAGAGTCAGACACAAAGATCTGCTCAAGTTACATTAGAAACTGAGCAATCCATAGAGGAGGAAGTAATCACTTGATTACACAGGTATGTAAATTTTATAAACTCATCAATTTAATATGGGTCAGTTTCACTACCTGGTTTTGAAACTGGAAGACAAAAATCCACTGGTCTTACACTGATGCTGTGTAATGCTCGAGTCCAAATATAAAATGGTAAAATTTTACTTCACTTTACACTTCAGAATTAGGGTTGTCAAGTGATTTAAAAAATTAATCGCGATTAATCACACTTTTAAACAATAGAATACCATTTATTTAAATATTTTGGGATGTTTTCTATATTTTCAAATATTTATTTCAATTACAACACAGAATACAAAGTGTACAGTGCTCACTTTATATTTATTACGAATATTTGCACTGTAAAAAAAACAAAAGAAATAGTATTTTTCAATTCACCTAATACAAGTACTGAGGTGTAATCTCTTTATCATGAAAGTGCAACTTACAGATGTAGGGGTTTTTTTTGTTACATAACTTCACTCAAAAAACAATGTAAAACTTTAGAGCCTACACGTCCAATTAGTCCTACTTCTTGTTCAGCCAATCGCTCAAACAAGTTTGTTTACATTTGCAGAAGATAATGCTGTCTGCTTCTTGTTTACAATGTCACCTGAAAGTGAGAACAGGCATTTGCATGGCACTATTGTAGCCGGCATCGAAGGATATTTATGTGCCAGATACGCTAAAGATTCATATGCCTCTTCATGCTTCGGCCATTGTTTCAGAGGACATGCTTCCATGCTGATGACGCTCGTTTAGAAAAAAAAGTTAATTAAATTTGTGACTGAACTCCTTGGGGGAGTATTGTATGTTTCCTGCTGTTTTACCTTCATTCTGCCATATATTTCATATTATAGCAGTCTCAGATGATGACCCAGCACATGTTGTTCGTTTTAAGAACACTTTTACTGCAAATTTGACAAAACACAAAGAAGATACCAATGTAAAACTTCTAAAGCAGCTGATCCAAGATTTAAGAATCTGAAGTGCCTTCCAAAATCTGAGAGGGATGAGGTGTGGAGCATGCTTTTAGAAGTCTTAAAACAGCAACACTGATGCGGAAACTACAGAACCCGAACCACCAAAAAAAATAATAATAAAATTAAAAAAAAAAAAATCAATCCTCTGTTGGTGGTATCTGACTTAGATGATGAAAATGCATCAGTCTGCACTGCTTTGGATAGTTATTGATCAGAACCTGTCATCAGCATGGACGCATGTCCTCTGGAATGGTGGTTGAAGCATCAAGAGATATATGAATCTTTAGTGCATCTGGCACGTAAATATCTTTCAATGCCGGCTACAATAGTGCCATGCAAACGCCTGTTCTCACTTTCAGGTGACAATGTGAACAAGAAGCAGGCAGCATTTTCTTCTGCAAATGTAAACAAACTTGTTTGAGCGATTGGCTGAACAAGAAGTAGGACTAATTGGATGTGTAGGCTCTAAAGTTTTACATTGTTTTGTTTTTGAGTGAAGTTATGTAACAAAAAACCCTACATCCGTAAGTTGCACTTTCATGATAAAGAGATTGATTGCACTTCCGTACTTAGTATTTTTCAGTTCACCTAATACATTTCTTTTGTTTATTTGTGCAAATATCTTGTTTATTTGTAATCAAAAATAACAAAGTGAGCACTGTACACTTTGTATTCTGTGTTGTAATATAAATCAATACATTTGAAAAATGTAGAAAAACATCCAAAAATATTTAATAAATTTCAATTGGTATGCAATTAACAGTGTGATTAATCACAATTAACTTTTTTGAATTAATCACGAGTTAACTATGATTAAATCAACAGCCCTACTCAGAATTATTTAAGAGAACCTGTGAAATAAAACTTTGAATACATGCATAAAGCATGCTGAAATCCAATGAAGTAGTCCAAGGTTTATCTTACAGTCAAACAGCTAAATTACTGTTGACAGTAGCCATCTTGCTAAAAATGTGAACTTGTCTCATACCAATAATATGGAAACCCATTCAACCTGCTTTATCACATACATCCTACATACTACCAGCAGCACATTTGAAGAGCTCAGAAATACCAAGTACCATATAAATTATACTGAAAGAATATTTCATATTATTCATTGTGAATTGTACCTTTTATCTCACACAGCAAGGCACTAATGGGCTGAATAAAGTAGTTCTTTTTTCAGTCAAAGGACAAGAACCAAATAATAAACACTGAACACAAAAAGATGTTCTTCAAATTTGATTTGTATTACAGAAGTGGCTAATGGCCCCAACCAAAACTAGGGCCCTGTTGTGCTAGGGATTGTACAAACATGTAATAGGAGACAGTCCAGATCCTGATGCATGTGCTTAACTTGATGGGACCACTCAGAGTGCCTAAAGTTGAGTGTGTGCAGGATCAGTACCTAATTGTGTAAAACAGTAGGAGAAAGGAAGTGCACCAGTTTAGAGAGCGGAACTGAAACACACACATATTAGGGGATAGATTTTAAAATTAACTAATTCGGGCATCTAAACAGAGGCCAGATTTTGAGTAGTGCTCAACAGCCAGTAGTTCAGAGCGTGACTCCAGGTCAGTTTTGCCAATAGCTCAGCACCCAACATGATGAAATCATAAAAATTTGACTATTTTGGTGCCAAAATGGGAATAGAACTCTTTTGAAAAATGGGGCCATAAGTGATTTGACCACTATTACTCAGAAAGTGTGTGACAAAGCAGAGAATTAAATCCAAATATTTTGCACTCAATCTACTGCGCCCCAGTGTCTCATCCACAAAAAACATTCTTTTTAATCACACCCACTTTACATGTAAATGCCAGGTAAGAATTCTGTTAGTTTCAATCCAACTAAGAACCTCTATGCCATAAACATCTAAATATTTTTAAATATCAGGAGTACCATTTCTGTGTGTCAAATTAATCTACTAGATATTTTTATTGAAAGAAGAATGGAAAATATTATTTCCTTTAAAGGTTTTCACAGATTGAAGTTAAATAACCACCAAGGGTCCAAAACTACAGAACACACTGCTTTTCAACATGAATATGCAAACTATTTCAACTACCCTAATTAAACTTTAGAGAGTATTTAATTTAGTACAAAGCAATTTATATGTACTAATTTTAAAATATTTTGGAATATATCTAAAAGGTGACTATGTAAAACAACACCTTCTCATTCCAGATATGCTATTCAGTATTTAATCTCAATGTAGGTGACAAAAATAGTCTTTACATCCTTCCACTTCTATTAGTCCTACACTTTTCAACACAGCTCTAGGAAAGTGAAATGGGCTCTGTTACTTCTTCAGCATCAACAGGATTGTTTATTGAATCCCATTTGATTATTCCTATGCAATCTCACTGACTGTAATGAGTAACACATGTAATTGGGAACAATAATCTGGCCTCCAGAATCTGTGTTACTGGAAATTATGCATGATAAGGAAAGAGTCCATCTTGACTCTCAAGAGACTAGGTTGAGTTAACAGCACTCTAGCATTTAGGGAAAAATGCCATCCTCTTTAACCAGTAAACTGAGCAAACCTGATACAGAAATAATCGAGACACAAACATGGAATCCCACACAGCTATTATTACAGAATCACTCGAGAACACTATTCTTTAAGCAATGAACTTACCCATGAATAATATTTTAAGCCAAACAAGAAAGTACTATATTTATAGTGACAACGGAACTGAGGAGTAGGGTCAATACACGCCAAAAGAGTGTCAATATTTTCCAGAGTACAAATGATTGAAAACGGCCTAAATAACCCTAAACTTGTACACATTAGCAGGACAATGCATGTAATTGTGTTGATGAGCATTAATTTTGCATACCTCTACCTGGTACCCTGGCTTGATGGAAGCCTCGCAGCAAGACTGATTCAATCCTGCTAACGAAACAAGAACTGAGACAAGGATGCACCGAGGAGTTCATTTATCTCCCCAGCACAGCCAGACTAATGCCAACAGCAGCACTATAATCTGATCTCGTTTCAATACCTGGATGCCCCAATCTCTAACTGGAAAGGAAGGCCGCATGCAAGCTCCTACTGGGACCGTTGACTGGCACCGCCATCCCTTTTACACCCCAGCAGTACAACGTCCTAGCAATCGCTAGGTGGTGGGGGCTGGCCATGCCCCCTGGAAAAGGGGCACAAATTGAGGAGATTCCTATGCTCTGCGCACTGAGCAGACAGGCTCCCTTTCGGAGACGTACGCTCGTGCTTCAACCGCTGCATATGGTTTTTACAGCCTCCTACTCACCGTGTTCACGGACTCGGCTCCACGCGCCCTTGTGCGGGAAGACCGCGGATCCCCGCGCCCAGGGCCCTGAGGAGAAGCTGCGAGCGGCCATTTCATCCCCGCAGCGCTGACACAGCCCCCGCGCCCACCGTTCCGCTCAGCACGGGAACGCTCCACTCGCTCTCGCGGGGGCCGCGCCACTGAGCCCGGCTAGGCGCAGGAGGCAGCCCCTGCCCAAGCGCAGGGAAGGAGGATGCCGCTCACTGCAGGGTCGAGATAAAGGACAAGGGGACCCCGCCACCCGGAGCGAGGGCGAGCAGGGAGGAACCCGCAGGCCGGAAGCGCCCCCAGTCCCACACCAGACCCGCTCCCCCGAAGGAAACGGGCAGCACGCAGACCAGGGGGAAGGCCTCGGGGGCAGCCAGCCGGCCCGGGCCCCAAGCCGCTTCCACGATGGGCCCTCCCCGCCCCCGTTGGCCTCACCTTGAAGTAGATCTCGTCCACCACCTCGTGGTAGGTCTTGAGCTCGTAGAGCTGCACCTTGAAGTAGGGCGAGGAGAGGATGTTGGTGAGGATCATGGGGTTCAGGTTCATGGTCTTCTCGTTCCCCCACAGCGGCAGCACGTTGCCCTGCTTGCCCGAGGCCGCCGGTTTGGGGGCCCCGCTCTGGAGCGGCGGCTGGGCCGGCGGGACGGATCCGGCCTGGTGCTGGGCCGCCTGCTGCTGCTGGCAGTTGCCGGCGCCTACCGCGGGGCTATTGTTGGCCATTGTGCCACGGCGGCTCAGTGCTCCGGCCGGGGCAGGGGACTGACTCGCTGCACCGAAAGGCGAGTGGCCGAGCCGGGCGCTGTCTCCACTAACTGCCAACAAGATGGCGGGCCCTGCGGAAGTGACGAGTTCGTCTTCCGGGACCGACCGCACCGCCGACCAATCGCACCGACCCGGCCGCTATGGCCCCAGAAACCCCCGGTTCTGAGAGACCTGGGATGGCGCCGTTTCCGTGCTGAGAATTAGGGCCCCTTCTGCTCAGGGAGACGAGTGATTCCCGGGGCCCCTACTCGCCGCGGGCAGAGGATCCGTAAGGCGGGGTCTCTCCCCGCTCCTTAACCGTCGCTTTCTTTGGGGCTGTGCAGTAATTTCGTTTGCTTGAAACCAGCTTGGCAGGAAATGATTTTCTGCGGCCTGGGACGTGTCTCATGCAGCTTGGGCCTATCCTAAGAACAAACTGGCTGAAGAGCTATGAGCCCCTGCTTCTGGCACCAGTGGAGAGCACACACTGAAGTCAGGGCTACAACAAATGGGAAATAAATTCTCTCTTGGGGTTTTAGGACATAATTCCATGAAAAGGGCTGCTAACCAAAATCCTTTAAACTGAAAGCTTCCTGTTAATAGCAGCCTCTAATAAATTAGGTCCACAAACTGTAATAGAGTAGCACATTTGGAAATTACCAGCTTCGGGTACGTAGCCGTAAAAATATAAAATAACAGACGCTAGTGGAATGAGAATATATAAAACCTGGTGCCATAGGTGCTAGAACAGTTTTATAGTGGGGGTGCTGAAAGTCATGGAACAAAACTGTAAACCCCGTACATGATAGGAACCCCTTCAAACTAAGGAGTGCTGCTGCACCCACAGCACTTCTAGTTCCAGCATCTATGTGTTGTGCTACATCTGAATGAACTGGGATACCAAGGTCTCATTCTGCACTTCTATCTCATGCAGATATCATTTTCAACAAGAGCAGTGTGTACAAGTGACTGCAGGATTAGATTTAGAGTCTAAAAATATGAAACCTCTCTAGTCTAGCCTGACAATTGTCTGATATTGACTCTTGTAGCCAAATTATTTAGCTTAGTGTTTTCTGTGAAATAATATTAAAAAGGATAATTAGAAATATTTCATGCTGCTAAATTGAAAAATGAGCAGAAATATTTAGGAATATCTTTTCCTCCAGAAAAAGTTTCTACTACTATACTTAAGGATAGAAAGAAAGAATTATAGACGTGTAGGCCTGGAAGGACCTTGAGAGTTCTTCTAGTCCAGTCTCCTACACTAAAGGCAGGACTAAGTATTAACATTCACACATTTTGAATTTTAATCCTATCTTCCAAAGCACTTGCAACCCCTCCCAGCTTGGTATTGTCTGCAAACTTTATAAGTGTACTGTCAATGCCATTATCTAAATCATTGATGAAGATATTGAACAGAACTGATCCCTGCGGGACCCCACTTAATATGCCCTAACAGCTTGCCTGTGAACCACTGATAACTACTCTCTGGGAACGGTTTTCCAACCAGTTGTGCACCCACCTTATAGTAGCTCCGGCTAGGTTGTATGTGAGAAAGTCAAGCAAGACAGTATCAAAAGCCTTAGGGTATGTCTACACTACAAAATTAGGTCGATTTTATAGAAGTCAATCTTTAGAAAGCGATTTTATACAATCGATTGTGTATGTCCCCACTAAGTGCATTAAGTCGGCGGAGTGCGTCCTCAATACCATGGCTAGCATCGACTCATGGAGCGGTGCACTGTGAGTAACTATTCCACAGTCCCCGCAGTCTCCGCTGCCCATTGGAATTCTGGGTTAAGCTCCCAATGCCTGATGGGGCAAAAACATTATTGCGGGTGGTTTTGGGTACATGTCGTCAGCCTCCCCGCCCTCCCTCCCTCTGTGAAAGCAACGGCAGACAATCATTTTGCGCCTTTTTTCCTGGGTTACCCGTGCAGACGCCATAGCACGGCAAGCATAGAGCCCGCTCAGCTCACCGCTGCTGTTGTGAGCATAGTAAACACCTCACGCATTATCCTGCAGTATGTGCAGAACCTGGCTACGAGCTGCCAGCACGAGGACGATTGTGTGGAGGACATGGACACAGACGTTCCTGAAAGCACGGGATGTGGCAATTGGGACATCATGGCGGCAGTGGGGCAGGTTGATACAGTGGAACATTGCTTCTGGGCCCAGCAAACAAGCACAGACTGGTGGGACCACATAGTGTTGCAGGTATGGGATGATTCCCAGTGGCTGTGAAACTTTTGCATGCGTAAGGCCACTTTCCTGGAACTTTGTGAGTTGCTTTCCTCCACCCTGAAGCGCAGGAATACCAAGATGAGAGCTGCTGACAGTTGAGAAGTGAGTGGTGATAGGCCTGTGGAAGCTTGCAACGACTGCTACCTGTCAGTTGGGAATCAATATGGAGTGAGCAAATCTACTGTGGGGCTGTGATCCAAGTAGCCAAGGCAATCACTAACCTTCTGCTAGCAAGGGTAGTGACTCTGGGAAATGTGCAGGTCATAGTGGATGGCTTTGCTGCAATGGGGTTCCCTAACTGTGGTGGAGCGACAGAAGGAACACATATCCCTATCTTGGCACCGGACCACCTTGCCAACCAGTACGTAAACCGCAAGGGGTACTTCTCAATGGTGCTGCAAGCACTGGTGGATCACAAGGGACGTTTCACCGACATCAGTGTGGGATGGCCGGGAAAGGTGGCTATTCTCAGGGATGATCCCTTTTAGCCGAACGCAAACAGCCCAGCATGAACGGGGTCCTTTTACTGTTCCCTTACAAAAATTCCTCTGTTTCAACCAAGTAACCATGAATGATATCACTCTCCTGAGGCTAACACAGAAAGATATAAACCAAATGTTGCTTGAATGCGACCAAAACCCAGGACCATTTGCTGCCATGCTTTGTGCTGCAATGATTCCAGACTACTTGCTACTGGCTTGGCGTGGTAAAGTGTCCTACTGTGGAGGATGAAATAAGGCAGCCCTCCCCAGAAACCTTCTGCAAAGGCTTTCAAAGTACCTCCAGGAGAGCTTCATGGAGATGTCCCTGGAGGATTCCCGCTCCATCCCCAGACACATTAACAGACTTTTCCAGTAGCTGTACTGGCCGGGAATGCATCCCAAGTCTTCAGGGCAAATCAAACGTTAAACACAATTGCTTTTAAACCCTGTAGTGTAGTTACAAATGTGCACTCACCAGAGGTGCCTTCTCCGGCTTCAGGGTTCGGGGAGCTGCCTTGAGAGGGTATTGGCTCCAGGGTGATGAAAAGGTCCTAGCTGCCAGGGAGAATGGATTCTCTGCTTGCCTGCTGCGCATTCTCCTCCTCCTCCTCTTCCTTATCCACAAAATCCTCCTCCCTGTTGCGTGAGACTCCCCCCTTGCAGTTGTCCACAGACAGTGGTGGGGTAGTGGTAGGGTCCCCCCCCCATACAATGCCATGCAGCTGATCATAGAAGTGGCATGTATGGGGCTCTGACCTGGAGCGACCGTTTGCCTCCTTTGTCTTTTGGTAGGCTTGCCTGAGCTCCTTAACTTTCATGCGGCACTGCAGTGTGTCCCTGTTGTAGCCTCTTTCCACCATGCCCTGTGTGATTTTGGCATATGTTTTAGCATTTCTTCTTTTTGATCGGAGTTCGGCCTGCACAGATTCTTCTCCCCATACAGCAATCAGATCCAGTGTCTCCCATTTGGTCCATGCTGGAGCTCGTTTCAGTGGTGTAGCCAGGTTCTAAGAGCAGGGGGAGCAAACATAAAAAAGGTGCCCCCCCTGGCTCCTCCTCCGGCCACGCCTTGCCCCCCCCTTGGCTGGCTCCTCGGGCCACACTGCGGCCATGCTGCGCCCCCCCCTCGCTCCTCCGGGTGTGCCGCCCCCCCGTGGCTGTAGAGAGAGGCTAGCAGGGGACAGGGAGGTGGAGGGGAGGGATGTAGAGGGAGGGTGGCAGGAGACAGGGGGGTTGAAGGGAGGTGGAGGGGAGGGATGTAGAGGGAGGGTGGCAGGGAACAGGGGGTTTGAGGGGAGGTGAAGGGGAGGATGTGGAGGGAGGGTGGCAGAGGATGGGTACGAGGGGAGGTGAAGGGGAGGATGTGGAGGGAGGGGGACAGGGGGTTTGACTTGAGGGGAGGATGTAAGGAGGGTGGCAGAGGACGGGATACGAGGGGAGGTGAAGGGGAGGGAAAGGCAGGGGCATGGGGTACATGGGAGGGGTACATGGGGTATGGAGCTTGGGGAAGGGTTACCGGGGATGGGAGTGGGTTGGGGTCCCCGGGGCTCTCTGTGCAGAGGGGGCTGGAGCTGCCCCAGGGACCGGGAGAGCCTGGGAGTCCACTGCCTGCCGTTCCGCTGCTTCTTTCCGGGGCCCGGCCGCTAGGCCCGGCCCAGACAGCAGCAGAGAGCAAACCGCACCATGGCGAATCTCACGGCAGCCCCGATCACACGGCAAATCGGTAGCCGAGATCGCACGTGGCTCAGGAGCCGGGGGAGCTGCGAGACGCCGCCTGGCGCCTCGTGGTGGACAGAGACGGGCAGAGGATCCCGTTCGGGGCCCTGTTCCGGGAGCACAGAGCCATCGTGGTGTTTGTGCGGGTGACGGGAGAGCCGCTTTTTGTGTCATCCCACCTGCTTGTGCAAGTGGCTCTTGCGTAGCGGGACACCGGGGCATCTCCCCACTCAGTTCCAGTCTCCAAACCCACATCTCTGGGGGGAGGAGGAGCAGGCTGGCTGCAAATTGGGTTCCCACGGTACCCCTCACGCTGTCACTGCCTCGGAGGGGCTC